TGGAGGATTGGGACTTCAGGGATAATGGGGAAGTGCAACCTGATGGTCTGCACTTGTGGAGTGACCTCCTGCTTTGTTAAGCCCAACACCACTGCCACCTGTTTTGTGGAGACATGAGGCCCAGAGCAGGGAACTTTAGGCAAGAGTTAGCTAGGAATTCCTGAGCAGCTGGTCTCAGGAAAGTGGTAGCTTGTGGGAGACAGAGGGGTGGTCCCATTACAGCTTCCTCAGTGCCAGGCCTGATAACAACCTGTTAATATTTTATCAGCGATCACATCGCAGCGTGGAGGAGCCACCACTTAGGGCAAAAGAGAGAGATAACCTGCTGGACTTCCTGTTTGAGGTTTTCTCTCTCAGGGAGATAACAGGAGTTCTCATCAAAGTCCGCAGCCGCTGGGGCAGGGAGACCAGGCTGGGCAAAGGCCAGGCTTCAGCCAGCGGAGCAGCACATGCGCTTCCCTGCCTGGGGCCTCTGTGTCCCAGAGTGGGCAGCGACAAGCACAGAAGAATCACCTGTCCGTGGACCCAGGGCTGAGTGGGAGGGAACAGTTGACTCTGCCCAGGCCTCATCTGCCCGCCTTTAGCGCCGTGCCCTTCTCCGTCCTCTCTCCCTTCTCCCACAGCTGTTTCTCCTCTGGTCCGGGGCCAAAAGGCCTCAGGTTACTCGGATGGGCACTGCCTCCACTGCCCCCACCAATTTCCAGGAAGCTGCCCAAGAGAAGCAGATGAGGGAGAAGGGGCTGGGCGCTAGGGGCACTCTTTCCACTGGAGCCACTCAGGAGGCCTGTGAGGCAAACTCAGAGGCGTTCTGGATGAGCTGCACGGTATAACCGTGTTTCCTCCTCAGCGCTGCTGTCCACTGTTTTGCTCTGTCTCCCATGGTCCCTTAGCCACAGGAGGCAGTTTCTTTAGATCATCCTCCCCGCCCCCCCCACCAAAGCTCAAGGGGTGCCAGACCCTCCCTTCATATGGATTGGGATTTGAGGGGATGTACAAGCCTTTCTGAAGTAGCCGCTGACACCCCTACCTTCTGGAACTTCCCTCCTATCTCTCATAGGACACACCGTATCACGCGTTGCACCACGCTTAGGTGTGCATGTCTTATCTGGCCCTGCATCAGCTGTCAGCTCCTGCAAGGCACAGACTTTACCTTGCTGTTCACCCTCATTGCACTTATTGCCCTCGAAGCCTCTTCCCACATGGAGTGAGGGTGCCGGCCACGTGGGCTGCCTGGCTGTGGAGCCCATTGAATGGCTGTTGGATGGGCTGGATGAAGGTTTCTCAAGAAGCTGGAGCTCGCCTTTCCCCCCAAGAAGCTAGTTTCAGCCTCCCCCTCCCCTATTAATGATCACATAGCAGTAGGTCAGTAAGGCCCTGACGGGGAGAAAACATGAGTCACACTATTATCAGAGGAATGAGGGAGGGCAGAAACATCTCTCCTTGTGCAAGGGTCAGAGCCATCAGTTCGGGGCATAAACACAATGGCCTTTGCTATCCCCTTGGTTGTGGCTAATCTAAATTACTTTATGATGGAAGGCAATGGGGTGAGCTGAAAGCTGTTCAACTTGGACTCAGACACCGGGATATTTCGAGGAAATTATTTAGAGCAAAGCTTTCCTTGCACACCCAGCCAAAGGGAACAGTTGCTCCTTATCGGCTCTGCCCCGGTTTTTCTAGTTAAGGATGAAAATCTAACTTCCTCTGTAGACTCTTCCCAGATTACAGGGAAGGAGGACGTCCCCGGGAAGCCTCATCCTAAGATGAACAGAAGCCCCGGGCCCTATTTCCCTCGAAGGCCCTTCTAACCCAAGGGCAGACAGGGAGAGGAGGGCTGCGGCAGTCCGAAGAGGAGAAGACACTCTTACACCTTCCCAGGCAGAATCACAGACCCACATTGCTGGGGGAAGAATTTCTAAGCTTAGAGTCAGACTCTGACACTGTGACTTTAGGGAGGCCTCCATTTTGTCTCTTGTAAAAAGACCTGCTTCATTTTGGGTATTTGGAGAACGCAAGGCAGTTGTGGATCTGAAAGTGCTTTAGTGGCCCTGTGGTGGGTCCTCAGAGCCCAGACCAGACGGCTGCCCCCTCAGCACAACACAGTCAGCAAAGCAACCCCTTCTTCCGGCCTCTACTGCCCCCCACCCGAGTCAAGCACTCTGGAGTTCCTGGTGCCAGGCCAGAGACGCGACCCCTTATACAACTTCTGTTCAGGGAGCCTCTTCTCTCCACACCTTATTCCTGCCCACCTCCATTCCCTCTAAATGGGCTCGGGTGGCGGGGTCCTCGCCTCTGCACCAGAGAAGGCCTACGTGGGGAGTGCAAGGCAGGGCCTGTTGTAACAGGTTCCTGTGCTCTGCGACCCACTCTCTCCAGGGGCTGTGTAAGTTGAATCTTGCTGGGGCGGAGGTAGGGAAGCAGGCGGGAGCTGTTATCATCAGTGTTGCCACAGCTAACATCTTTTTGAACTGGGCTTTTGTTCATTCCCCCAGGAGGTTCGAACAATGGCTGGCCGAATCATTGGCCTCCCAAACTCTCACACCTCCAGAGTTTGGGAAATTAGTACGGAGGTATTACGTCTCTTTCAAATGTGAATTGGTCCTGCTCCCCCAGATCATCTTCGCGGGAGATCTCCAGGAGAACTGTGTATGTCCCCAACGTGTCTTTGTTGGCCATAAATTGCTCTCCTCCGGCAGCTTGGGGGGACCCCTGGCAGGCTCTCCCAATGAGTGGATCAGCAGAGTCCTATTTGGGGAGTCTAGAGTCTGGGGCACCAACACCAGCAATGTAGCTCTGGGAAAAACAATCTCTTTATTCACATGGGCCTTGGTTTCCCCATCTGCTGAATGGAGATTGTCAGATTGACTTTTCCTTCCTCACAGTGCTGGTTCAGAGAGCGAAAGGAATAAACACACAGCCATTCAGTAAATAACTTCCATGAAAGAATTGTGAAGAGGGAGGAGCCCTGGGCACAATGAAAAGGTGAAGTTTCCCTGGGAATGTGGTGGGGGGTGTCTTGTTTTCATAATGTCTCCCATAAAGTCTAGAATTTTTTTTATCCACCCTGTGGGAAGAAAAGCCAGTTTCCATTCTACCCTCCCCCTGGCCCAGTTCTCTCTCATACCTGCCATGCTTGCCAAGGCCCCTTTTGAATGAATAAAACAGTAACAAAATTACTCAATCAACAAGTGTTTATTGATCACCTACTGTGTGCCCAGCACTCTTACAGATAGTCTGGGGGGATACAGAGAGGTCTTGGGTATGGCCCCTACCCTCCAAGAGTTTATAACGTATTTGTGAAATCAGATAGGCACACACGAAAAGATAGCTATCCATCAAAAATTGTGAATTACAAGCATTAAAGAAGCAATAATTATATGCTGAGGGGGTGGAGGAGGGAGGGCAGGAGAGGGACGGAGTGGTCAGAGGAGACTCAGTGTAGGAGTTGGTGCTGAACAAGTTCTCCAGACAACAGGAGGACTCGGCTAAGGGGACAGGGCCTTCCAGCTTGGGAGAAGAGCTTAATCATAAGCAAGAAGGTGGAGAGGCGAGAAGCATGTTAGAGACGAGTGAGCCCCTTCTGCTGGTACTGAGGTTTGGGAAGGTGGACTGGAGTTTGTCTGAAGCTGGGTGTACTTGTAGGGCAGTGTGTGAGGGAATAGGCCTTTGGTCTATCTGTGACTCCCACCCCCACCCCAGGGGAAATGGAGCATTTCCACACCTTGGAGGTGGAAGTGTCTGCCTGGGAGACGTTCTCCTCAGTCCCTCCCCAATTGAAATCCCAGGCAGCGGTTCATCTTTCGCTCAGATCGGGGGCACAGCTCCTTGGGCATTCCATGCCAAAGCCCTCAGATGCCTTCTGGCAACTCTGAGATGTCTGGCGATGGATGGCGGGCCCTTCTGAAGGGTGACGGAGGTGGGGGACCTGGGGGGCTGTTGTCTTTCAGAGGCTCTCTGGCGCTCTGTGGGGAGACCCCTGGGAATGGATCGCAGACTTTGGGCTGATTTTCTATTAGGCTTGCAGACTCCCTGGGGAAGCCGCCTCTCTCTGGCTTGATAGAAACTCCCACTGGAGCCACCTCACATGCCCTCCCCCCAGCTTCTTAGAGACCAAAGTTCTTCTTCTTTCTGGGGCAGCATCAAGGAGCGGTCTCTTCTTTGGAACCCCAAGCCTCCCACGCTGTCATCCCCCAGCCAAGAGCCATCTCGAGAAAGGACATGTTCCCCCTCCTAAGGAAACCACCGTGCAGGACTCAGGAGACCCGTAGCCTTGTTTCTTAGCAGGAGGCCAGGTCAGAGGGAGGCAGGAGCTTCAGTGAAAGTTGGGGCTGCAGCTTGGAGGCAATTCCTCAGCAGAATCAGCGTCTGCTGCTGCCTTGAGCTTTCCACCATATCTTCTTTCTTTGTGATTTCCCCTAGTGGGAGGGGGGCTAGATCCCCAGCCCACAGTGGGAGGGAATTCCGGGAAATGCCCTGGGCAGTGAGTCAGGTCTTTTTTGGGTCCTTGACTGCCTTCCCTCCCTCTCATCCTGTACCCAGTTGCTCTCTGCTCCCTCGGTACCACAGGGTGGTTTTATTTCAGTCCACGCACAAACCAGTCTGAACACTGTGGAGTCATAACAACAATGGGATGGAGGCGCTGGGCTCCATTACTGGCCAAACAGTTTCTTCGGAGAGAAGTTTGGGAAGTTGGTGAGAGCCGTGCCCATAAAAACCACCAGTCCTCCTCCCCGCCACCCCCCAGCAATGAGCTCAGAGCCAACCTGAGCCAGAGGGAGGGTCTTTGATCACAGAAACGGTTAGTCAGTGGGATGTAATTAAGGAGTGGGTTTGGGGGTGGATTCGCAGGTCACCTGAAAGGCAGAGGGGAGACTCTGTGGTTTGGAGTTGAGGGTTGGGGACTCAGGCCGGGGTGGGGGTTGGGGGAGGTGGCAGGGCCGTGGGCAAGTTGAAGGGAACAGAAAGGCTGGCTTGCAACCATCTTGACAATCCAGCCTGCAAGCTGTCACACCAGTTCCCGTTTCTGCCTTCGCTTTATCCAGCGGCCAAAGTCAGTCTATCCTCAGCACCTTCTGACATGTCCCAGTGCCAGTGTCCCTCACCTGCGGCCCTGGGTGGGGGGGGGCACTGTCCGCTGGTTTTCACAGACCCAGCCACCCGCCCCCAGCTCTGGCCCCTGGTTCTTCACACATACCCTGTCAGGCTGTAGGAGTTAAACTCACTCTTGACTTTGGGCAGTTGGCTGGCCCTTGGGGAGCTCCTAGTTGCGAGGGGCTGGGCCTGGTAGGAATCATAGTAGTTGGAGCGATTTCCCTGGAATGGGCAGGAAAAGCAGAGGATGATTCCAGCTACCAGGGAGAAGAGGGAGGAAATAATGCCCAGGTAAAGAGCCTCTCCGATCTCAAATTTCATGCTGTCAGGTACCAGTGGGGAGTAGAAGTCCCGCAGGATCCCATGAAGATTCCAGGCAACAGGAATGAAGCCCAGGAGGCCTCCGAGGATGAAGAAGACTCCGCCCACCACAGCCAACCTGTCCTTGGCTCGGGAGTCCTGGCAGAAGACTGTGCATCTCATGCCCACCACAGAGACTATGCAGGCCAAAGAAGAGAGCGCACTGGATGTCACCATCATGGCCTGGGCAGCCTGGATGTCAGCGGGCAGGCCTAGGAGGGTGCTGTAGATGTCGCACTGTGTGATGCCTGTGCTGTGCGTGGCACACTCCATCCAGAGGCCCTTGGAGAATCCGACGGCTGTCACGATGCTCGTACCGACGTAGGAGCTTGTTCGCCAGCTGGGAAGTAGCATGGCCACCAGGGTGCCCAACAACCCCAGGAGGCCCAGGACGTAGCCTACGAGTTGGAGGCCAAGGGAGGCCATTGCGGACCTCTCGGCAGTGGGGGCGTCGTCGGGGCCTGCTCCCTTGCCTTCAGGCTGCAGTGCTTGCTCCTTGGATCCTGGCCTCTAATCCCTCATTTCAGAGTGCCTCTCCCAAGCTGATTTCTCTCCTCCTTACAAGTGTCTGTGGGTGGCCACAAGCAGGCTCAAGAAGGCATCTAGAAGACCTAAAAAAAATCCATAAACCAGATTAAATATTGACCAGAAGCTTATGAGAAACCAGAAAATGCTGGATGCCTTTTGACCTTTGTTATCTTTAGAAATAACACATGAGAAAGAAAAAAAGAACTTTGAAAGTGGAGCCAAAATGTCATCGCCTCCTGCGTAGGCACATGCCTTGGGTTGGGTTGGCAGCCAGACAAAGCCAGGGGCCAGACGGGTGGCTCCTTTCCGAGAAGGTAGTGGTGACAGTGGTGGTTATGCCGGCTGCAGTAGCTCCGGGTCAGGCTCTCACCTGGCACGCTTCTGTCTCCAGAGCCTGATGTTGAATGCACTGCCCGGCAACACTGCCACGGGGCCCTCAGCTGCACACCGAGGCCAAACTCCAGGAGCCTGGAACAGGAGGAACAGGTCCTAGGATACAGCTCTGGACTCCGGCTTGCTAGAGGCCTCGCAAATCTCCAGGGGCCTAGAGAGGAGGGGTCTGGCCCTAGGTCATCGTCCCCACATGTGGAAATCTACACCAGGGCCAACTGGGGTCGGCGAAGAAGACTTCTGTCCACACGCTGAGAGCTCAGATCCACCCAGCCCTGCCCCAGTTCCCTCCACCAGGCACGACTAAGGACACTTCCTGTCTGTTTTCTTAATAGATTCCCTACCAGCCCCAGCCTCGGAGATAATGGGGAAGGATTTTTGGAGCGAAAGTTCTGCCAAGGCCTGGGGGTGGGGGAAGTCATGAAATTCCCTAGGCTATCTCCCAGCCGATGACCTAGGATGGACAGAGGAAAGGGAAGCTCTTCTACTGTAGAAGGCTTTGTAAGAGGAAGGTATCTGAGCCTATCCTTGAGAAACTCGGAGCTGTCTAGCATGTTGCATTGTTCAAGCCTGGTTGGCTCAGTCGGTTAAGAATCCGACTCTGGGTTTTGGCTCAAGTCGTGATCTCAGGGTGGTAAGACTGAGCCGGGTGTCGGGCTCTGCACTCAGCGGGGAGTCTGCTTGAGATTCTCTCTCTCCCTCTCCTTCTGCCCCTCCCCCTACTCTCTCTCTGTCTCTCTCTCAAATAAATAAATAAATAAATAAATCTTTAAAACTAAATAAATGAATGAACGAATGAATGAATGAATAAAATGTCCACCTGGAAATGCCACAGGCACCTCAAATTTGACATGTTCAAAAGAGAACTCATCATCTCTCCTATCACACCTTTCCCCAAACAGTTCTTCCCTGGGCCCCCTGAGATCGCTGAACTGTACCTCTATCCATCCCCTTGTGCCAACCAAAATCCTGAGAGTGATTCTTGGCATTATTTTCATACTGACTCCTCACTTTCCATGGTCAATGTCTCACCAACTCTATCTCTTGCATATACCTCAAATTCACGGCACCCTTCTCCCCATCCCTACCGCTACTTGCCAGAGTCAGTCCTCCTCCCCCCAGACTGTAGCAATGACTTCCTCACTGGTCTTATTTCCGGTTTTGTCTCCCACGGTTCATTCTCCATGTCGTTGCCAAGGTGATCTTTCAACACATTAATCTGATCAAGTATCTACATAAAACATTCCAGTGGCTCCCCATTGGCTAAAGGATAAAGTCCAAACTTGTTTGTACTCTATGACCTCTCAAGCTTCATCTCTTGCCATTGTCCTCCTCATATTCTTGCTGAGCTAAATTACTCTTGGTTCCTCAATCATGCCATATTGTCTTTTGCTTGCAAACCTGAGGGCAAGCTGTTCCTTCTATGCAAGATGCCTGGCATTCTTTTCTCTCTGTTTAGTGCTTGCTCACCACTTAGTGTTCCACTCTTATGTCTCTTCCTCGAGCTTGGATCAAGTTCACCTCCTCTGTGTTCTTGTAGCATTTTCTGTGTTTCCTTACCCCTATCATGGTAGTATAGTGATAATAACAACTGTAATAGTAATAGTAATAATAATAATAATAATAATAACAGTTATATAGTGTTTCTGATGTGACTGATGTATAAATTAGAAGCCTTCTATATGTGTTAACTCACTTAATCATCACCGCAATGTTTTGTGGTAGGTGCTAATCATCCCTATGGTACAGATGAGGAAACTGAGCTAGGAAGAGGAGTTACTGCCCTGTACTGCAATTTCCTACTTAAACCCTTATTCCTCCCCGGCTTGTCTGTGAGCTACATAAGGGCAAGGACTGTATTGTATTCATCTCTGGATCTCAAGTGCCTTGCAGAGTATGACACCCAGAACAGGTATTTAAAAATATCTTCTTGGGACACCTGGGTGGCTCAGGTGGTTGAGCGTCTGCCTTCGGCTCAGGTCATGACCCCAGGCTCCTGGGATTGAGTCCCGCATCGGGCTCTCTCCTCAGCAGAGACCCCGCTTCTCCCTCTCTCTTTCTGTGTTTGCTGACGCTCTCTCTCTCTTTCCCTCTCTCAAATAAATAAATAGATAAATAAATCTTTAAGAAAATATCTTCTTAATGAGTGAATAAAAGTTTTAAAGGGGTTTGAGGGACTATAAGATGTGGGCTTTCTAAAGGAGCCAATGACTTCAGTGTAAGGGATGAGAGCAGCCTGCTGTTGGGAAAGGAAGTTGGGAGAGGGAATCAGAGGATGGAGGGATATGGACAGAGACAGACAGAGAGAAGAGAGACAGAAAGGGAGAGAGACACAGAGAGAAAACAGAGACAGAGAGACAGAGAGACAAACACAGAGAAAGAGAGCCAGAGAGAGAGAGAGAGAGAGTGAAAGAAACAGGATTTCCTATTTTCTGTATATATGCCTTTGCTGAATAGCTTGTCTCTTCCAATTCTAAACCACTTGAGGGAAGAAATACATTAAGCTTGTTAATTACTCAATATTGTAAACCTCGATTACACGTCCTGGATCTCGGCAGCATCAGGCAGAGCTGCCAGTCAACACTATTCCTCAGTGATGAGGTTGACAAGGCCAATGTGGATGCCAAGCAGCGTGGAACAGGGGCCAATACACACCTGATGGGAGGGGGAGGGAAATCTAGTTTGAATCCCAGCTCTGGCGCTCACCAGGTGTGACACTGCACCGCTCCTTTCCACGCATTGGTTTTCTTACCATTAAGCTGGCAGGATTCTACCCTATCCTGATCATGACCTTGCATCTCAATGGCACCTTCTGCTTCTCCCTGGCGAGCATCTCCTGGTGACAGCTTCAAACACCACTTTTTTTTTTTTTTGAGCCCCTTTCCCGACCTTCTCCTTGTGCAACTACTACTCTCTCCTCATCATTTCCTTACAATTAAGATTCCTATACAAACCGTTTCATGTTGATGTCTCTACTTCTTTCCCATCCCACCCACTGCTCAATCCTCTTTAGTCTGGCTCCAGCCATTAGACCTCCTCTGAAACTAAGGTTGTCCACAGTTTTTTTGTCCCCAGATCCAATGGTCATATCGCTGTCATCTCACTTTGTCCCTCTCTTTCCTAAAACTGTCTTCTCCCTTGTTTTCTGTGATTCTAAGTCTTTTTTTTTTTAAAGATTTTATTTACTTGACACATGCAGAGGGAGAGAATGAAAGAGTGCAGGCAGGGGGAGCAGCAGAGGGAGAGGGAGAAGCAGTCTCTCCACAGAGCAGGGAGTCCAGTACGGGAACTTGACCCCAGGACCCTGGGATCCTGACCTGAGCTGCAGGCAGACACTTAACTGAGTCCCCTGGGAGTCCCCTTCTAAGTCTTCTTTATAAGTTTTTCTTCTTGTGCCCTTTGTACAATACTGACTGTTCCCTGTAGGGTTTCATTTGGACTTTGGGACTTCTCATTCTTCACATTCTCTAAGGGTGGTCTCAATAATCTGTCTGTATGCCAATGCCCCCTGAATCCATACTTCCAGCCCAGATCTCTCTCATGAACTCAAGATTTGTATAATCAACTGCATTTGGAATGACCCCATCTGAATTTTTTCATGGCACCTCAAACTCAACATTTGAAAAGCTGAAATCATCTGCTCTTTCTCTACCTTCAAGTGATTTCTCACATAGTGTTCCCCATCTCACTAGGACCATCCCTCATCCAGCAACTCAAGCCAGGCATCCTTGATTCTTCCCCTCTTCTTGACATGTGATCAATTATAAAGTCTTATCAAATATACCTTCAAAATGTTCTGAATGCATCCACTTCTCTCATGGGCATCTCAAATTTGTCTCTCTAGTTCCACATCCGCAATCAATTACCCATGTGGTAGCCAACAATCTTTCTAATTTGGAATCTAATCTTAAGTGCCACCCCACCCCTTGCCATGCTTTAAAAACTTCAGGGCCTCTTAATTGCTTTCAAGATGAAGTTCAAACTCTCTAGCACAGGAAATCAGGAATGCCCCCCTTTGTCTGGCTTCTGATTTCCTTTTCAGCCTCGTTTCCCACCAATAATCTCCAATCTCAAGCTTTATACTCTCTCTCTCTCTCTCTCACACACACACATACACACACACACACACACACACACACACACGCACAATCCAGCCATGGCTGTACAGGTGTATTTCCCTGAATTTGCCTTTCTCTGTCTCTAAGGCCTTGAGTATGATATTCTACTACCCAACATTTGCTTGGTTAATTGCTGGTCGTCCTTCAGGACTCATCCTCCCCTTTGAAAACTTCTTTGGACTCCCTCTGTCAGCTCAGGCTGGGTCACATACTTTTCCTTTGTATTTATGATCTATTTATGGGTCCCCCGTGAGTGTTGGTGAGCTACCTTGAGGTTTTTAGGGCACGGACCCGCTGCCTCCAAGAAGAGCAGCTCCCGCTTCAGCCTTGTGGGGAAGCCGGCAGAAGAGCCCAGCTTGAGTTTCCCATGAGAGTCAGCAGTGTCCCCAAGATGAGGGCTTCTCCCCAGGGTCAGTCCTGACTCAGTAGGCCTAAGTAGGAAGAGTAGTTTGGGGAAGGCAGAATTTTAAAAAGGCCACCAGTGAGGCTGGGAGTCTCTGGAGTCTATACTGGGGAGACTGGGCAGGAGGAAGAACCCGTTGATTGAGCTTATTCAATTGGGAGAGATGGCCTGAAGGAGGTCAGATTTCAGCAGGGTCAGGAAAGCAGGGGTGGACAAAACAGCAGGTTACTGGAGAGTGTGTCAGGCTGGATTCTGTTTTTGTTTGTGTGATG